CATTGTGTATGCGTCCATTTTCTTGGGTCAGTGTAATTGTGCGTTATTATAGTATTTTAGGCCTGTAACTATGGCAGTGTTGCCTGGGTACTTAGTTTACCTGTAGCACTGAGCGTACCGCATTGTGTATGCGTCCATTTGCTTGGGTCAGTGCAATTGTACGTTGTTATAGTTTCATTAGACCTGTAACTATGGCAGTGTTGCCTGGGTACTTAGTTTACCTGTAGCACTGAGCTTACATTGTGTATGCGTCCATTTGCTTGGGTCACTTTAATTGTATGTTAGATGTCAGGTTCAATTAACCATCGAAAAATTATAAAAAAATACGAATAATAACGCCCGTATATTATTATCAACTATTCAGATTTTACGTTTAATACACTACCATATGATACTCTGCACGGGCTAAAAAAGTTTGGTATATATGAATGTACCTATAATTCGCATACCGAAAGTATCGCATCATCTAGTGTAAAGTGGATGAGTGCAACTTGTACTTGCATCGACTCAGCCATATTTATAGTGCTCTTTTTTGAGCTAAGCTCGTCATGATCTCCTTCACGGTTCTCTGCGCGATCGGGAAAGGCAGCCGAGACTTTGCATCGAGCCATCATTGCACGCTCAACGATAGTCTGGCTTCGATGCAAAGGCACGGCTACTTTTTCAAGGGCAATGAACCGTAGAAGAGACTATTGGAATCTTGATGCGTATAAGTATGCGTATTCAAAGATATGCGGATACTTGACAGCTCCAGACGTATTCATACGAAAACAGGACTGTTGATTTTGGTGTTAAAAAGTCATGTTATCCATGACGTTCTTTGATCTGGTCGTCACTCTCTTCTTTCTATCCCATTTAGCCTACATTTTCTTCTGCAAACCGCTTCAGACGTCTGTGAGAGAAAATGCTGGAAAGTACAAAGTTAATCTGTGCAGAGCTGGTCGTACCAGTGTTCCCCATTTAATTAAGTAAGTTATCCTAATCTATATATAGCAGGTATTGACATTTTTTCATCAATTTTTTACATCAATTTTTACATTAATTTAGGACAATTCTCCGTCGAGTCAATAAATTTTGATCTGTGTGAATTTAGGAGGAGCCGACGGGTTCCTGGGAGAAATATATCTGTTCTTATGTAAGTCACAACTGGTTGCCAGCGAGAAATTCAGGAAAAAAGAACTTACCAGGAAAGGAATACTTTCTAAGAAGTTTTGCTAGGGAAATAAATATTTCCTAACTAAAAATAAGTATGAGCCGTTTTTGACCATAAAAACGTACGTTCCATAAACCTTTTTTGACCTTAAAATGTTTTTCCAGGAAGAAAAACATTTTAAAGAAGGAAAGTCGCCGCATTTGCTTGTGAGATTGGCAACAATGTAGCTAAAAATCCCGTTCCCAGGAAAAAACTGTACAAGAACAGTTATTTAGAAGAATTGAACAGACCCCATCGGCTCCTCCTGTGAATTAGCAACAATGTTAACTCATATATGTAATACTGTTGGTTGTCGTCAGATTATGTTGGACATCCGATGGTAATGGTCGTCTTCACGACTACCCATCAATCAAAGCTGGCTGCGACGAGATAACCTTTCCAGCTGGAAAAAACAAGATACAACACTCGATCAAAATTACAAACGACAGTTGGGGAGAACAAGAACACAAAACGTTCCAGCTGAGGATCCTAACCAATGAATCAACTGTGTTTTTCAACGACACCTCCAGCTATAACGTCACACTGATTGATGATGACAGTAAGTGTATTTCGTCTTACGCTAACATTGCCATGCAGTTTTACCCTCTTAATTTAGTAAGCATATGATTTAGGATTTACGTCCGAATTTATATGCTCTTCTTGACCTCCATTTTCAAATCAGGATTCAGATGTCCGTTCAAAAAGGGGAGGGGGTGGTGCACAAGTTTGCACATGTATTTTCCATTCAAGGGACATGGTCCACCACCATCCATGCAATGCGGTCGTGTTTTAGATTTTTCATCATGAAAATATGATTATAGAAAATGAGGTGGCCGTTTCCATCCATCGGTTTAAAGGTCGAATCCTACAATATTTCAATTCATATAGAATAAAGGGATAATAAAGAGCAGGTTTGTGCTTACATTACGATGAATTTTTATTTTCAAATTGAGCAAAAGTTCGCGAAGGGATACTGGTGGGCTAGATGTCCCTTTAAGGCAAAACGGGTTCACTTAGATTGGGACGAAATCAAAAATGGATGAGAATAATGTGCAAAACGTCAAACAAAAAAAGAGCCAGACTCTGTTCTTCCAAGGAACAATAAGACGGCATAGCACGTAACTAACCATTTCTAGTATATACGTGTATTATACTGAAGTGCTCTGGTGCGACTCACCATAACATATCTTATTCAATTTAGATTCATTTTGTTTGAAGAAAATGGCTTTTAATGTGACAGAAGAAAATCATCGATTTCTTAACATACTTGTAGAAAGGTTTGGTGCTATCTCAACTACAAATGCATCTGTGAGGTATGATTCTTTGGGAGAGGTACTTGTCCTCGACTTTGTAAAGAACCTTAATTTTGAAATTGTTTTTCTCTGATAAAGAAATAGAGTTTTGAATTTGTAATTGATTTGAAGAATGTCCACACCTATTTTCTAGCTGAAATTCGAGCAGGTTAAATTTTTCAAACTTCTTTTATTTATAATTACTTTTTTTACATGCAGACCAATCGCTGTACCAGATCAAGTAAAAAAAGCTCTTAGTCCGGATGACTACGAATTTCCAAATAACAATCAATCTTTGATGTTTTCTCTAAACGAAGTTGAAAAAAACATTACGATCACTATTAAAGATGACAAGCTGGCTGAAGATCATCAAATTTTCATATTATCTTTGTATGGCGTGGGTCTGAGTACTGTGTTTCCATCCTGTAATACTTCAAGAACCACAATCGTCAGTAATGATGGTAAGACTATGACTGTAACTAGTGAAATAGGGATTGGATCTAATAGAAATCATATGCCATAGCAAATAGTGATATAGGCAGTGGTCCGATCTAGTTGGGTTTCCAAGTCGCCATCGCGCGCGTTCACCTCTTAGTCAAACAAAACATGCTTTTATCGCAATCCACACATACTTTTACACATTTCTGCTTTTAGAAAGATGTAACTAATTTTCCTTAATAACCTTTTTTGCTTTTTAGTGTCATTTTAATCTAATTTACATAATTTGGAAAAGCTTCCCAAACTCCAGTGGATTCCCCCAGAGTCTTTCCGGCGTCAGCATAAAGACCGCTGTTGCTGTTATTACCCTTGACGAATCTGGGCTTGGAGTGGCAGTGGTCCAGTTATGGTCCGAATATCTGAGTTCTAGTTCTGCCCTTCCCATTACCAATACTTACATTTTTGTAAACAACAATTTACTTTCTTCAGTTCGTTCTTCGCCGAAAGCTGAACTCCATTTCCTATTAAATGATGCATTACGCCATATTATAGGAAATTCACAATATGCGTATGTTGTTTATCTTTATTTAGTTGATATCCGTTGCAATGGTTTGAACTCGGCAATGCAACAAGGTTTTGAAAATGAAAGTTCTTTGGTTGTAAACATCACACGAGAGGGATCAATCGAGTACAATCATACCATACGGTGAGACTTGAAATAACTGAAAGCTGCTTAGTATTTTTACTACTAGCCATAGTAAAACATTAATTTATATAATTAACAATTAGAATAAAAGGTCGAATGGACTATCAATCCGTAGCTTGCGAGACCTCGGGAGACCTAACGTTTTTAGTATCCACCTAACTATAGGGCAAATTTGACAAAAGATCATTAAACATGAATATATGAGCGATGTTATTGTAAAAGGTACTTAAGCCGCTATAAGGTCCCTTTTGTTCTCGAGTCTCTATGCTAGCGACCACTGGTCGCGGGAGTGTTCTTTAGGTCCTTTTTTCATTGACAACACTCATATCATAGTTCGGTAGCCAATCAGAATGCTGGATTTGTAATAGAACATAGTTCGTCGGATACTAACATTGGATATTTCACGCTCTTTATATATTACTAGAAATCGTCCATTTTGTTCACACTTGCTTCAGACACGGACTGAGTAGTGCAATTTGTTTTTGATCAAGATCCCCTAATTTTCTTTGCCAACATATATATAGAGCCTGATTTACTCATTTCACTGCTTTGTTTCTTCAGTATTCGTACAGTGGCAGATTCAGCAAAACCCCAAAGTGATTTCATTCCAGTTGATAAAGTTATAACATTCATCGCTGGACAAAAGAATATCCAACAGAACGTCATAATTGTAAATGATCTCGAGGTAGAAAAGGCCGAGAGATTTCATCTTGAATTGACTTCAAATGACTCACGTGTTAACATCATCTGTAAACGAATAACCTATGTCATCAAAGACGAAGATAGTAAGTTTTCGTTCGTTTTGAGAAACAGCATCAGTTGATATGTGACAGACAACGAAGCAACTCATGTGCTTCGTTGCTATATAGATTATTTTGCTGCCATTAATAAATGTAAAGGTGTCTGTAGATAAACGGGCCTTGCGACCTTTTCACTCCGATGCAAGCGTTTTTCATAAGTTGAAAAGCAACAAAATAGCACAAAGGAATGCATTTGACAGCTTTAAGGGGATGTTTCCATTGTATCCATGCTATTTACCAGCTTTTTGGCTATATTTTCAATAATTTTTCTTACTTCCAGCTATGGTAACATGCCCAAAAAGTTTAACCGTATCTGAGAACACAAAGATGGTAACATTGCAGTTGGAAAGAGAGGGATATTTGAATAGGACTTCTAACATGTGGTAAGTATGTTGTAAAGAATATTTGGTGGTAGCCAGCATATCGAGGGTTAATTCCCCCTTCTCTCCCTGCCTATTGTTTTTTATTAAAACAAAAAGAGAATATTTTTCGGCCCGAGATGAAATTGGGTTACCTGTGGTGAGCACCAAGATTGTAGATAGGTATAAATGAGGAGCAAAAGCTTCCCCCTTCTCGCCTAGGTGCTCTTGCCAGGTAAGCTAGCTTCTCACACCACCTCCTTTAACCACACACTAGCAAAATAAAGATCGATTCTGACAAGGAAGCGCGAGAGACCATGACCCCTGCAGTTTATTTCTTAGAGGCCCAGTGTGCACCAATATGCTTTGGGGCCCTCGGGCGGCCATTTTCAGTTTACCGAAAGTCTATAGATTGTACTCTGTGTTTCGAATCATTGACCATCTCACTTTTCTAAGCACTTTAAACGATAATATTAGAGTTTTCAACCATCTTACTTCGTTTTATGGTGATAATTGGATACAAGAAGTATTTTGGTGTAAATCATAACAATAACAGAGGCTCGCAAAGCATAATGGTGCAAACTGGGCCTTTAAGACTCAGTTTAATATGCATGCTATTGCTTTAAAGGATTAGCACTCTTGATGGCACTGCATATGACAAAGCGGATTTTGCACCAGCAAACAGGAGGAATGTCACTTTCTATCGTGGAGAGAACATTTCATCAGTCAGTATTGAAATCGTTGATGACGATGTACCAGAGAAATTGGAATCGTTCTCTATCTTACTGGGTTCGGAAGATAACACCACCACGCCGATCACATCTTCGATTTGTATGAACATAACAATAAACGATGACGATAAAGATGAAGATAAAGGTAAAAAATCTAAGAAGAAAAACTAGTGCCGAACTTGGAATTTGTTGATGTTATGATTTAAAGCATAGAAGGGGTTCGATCTCGCATAGACCAAAGTAAAAATCTGATTCCGTTCAAGTCAAATGTTGCGGCGAAACGTACTTACAGCTCAATTCTTTAAATTAAGAAGATATCACGTTTAGTGATCCCCGGGTTGTGTAACGAGTAGCGTCTTTGTTGTAGCGTCCTATTGGTGTGTAAGCTGTGTAATTTCCCCTAATAGCTTAAATGTAGGCACCGTATTTTCCCTACATGGCTTTTGTTTTTATTTTATATAAAAATAACTTGCTAACCCTTGTTTGTGCTCTGTTTTTACAGACCGCATCACTGCTAAACAAGCACAAGGTTAGTTGTACACATATTCATAAAGCTACTTTCCTGTCATAAATCTCTTTCCGACATTTGGAAATAAGTGTTCTGCATCAGCTGTGCCTCCAAAATGTTTGAAAAGAGCATGAAGCTAATAGTGGCCGGTCTGAACATGAGAACTTATATTTATGGTAAAACAAGAACTAAAACTCATGATTTGATTTGCCGATTGACCATTTTACATTGATTATTTTTCAGAAATCTTGGATAGCAGGAAAAGGATTTCAAACCTTCTTATCGCTGGGCTAGGCGCTGCTAGTGTTATAGTGTTGATTTTGATTATACTCCTCATTGCGGTTTGCGTGTAAGTTGTTGATTTTGTGTTGTTGTTTTTGAGAATATAAATGATCAATTCTACGCCTATAAATATCATAAACGCTTTGGCGGTTTAAAGAGCAAAACAACTATGTAGAATATTACTTAATTAGTACAGGAATTTATTTTTAGCTCGTAAGAACAATTTCAGGGCTATAGTATATTGCTACAGATCATTGAAATTCATATATGCTATATGGAATATATACTAGACTTTTTTAATTTTTTTTATGCAGGTGCTTTTAAGGAATAATCCGCCGAGTACGTAAATGCTGCAATTAAAATTAATATCGTCAGAACCCCGAAGTATGCTTTTTGGAACCACGTATGAATCAACGCTTGAGTAGAGGCAATTTTGTATAACTGTGAAAAGATACGGATCACGGCCAAGTCACGGAACCTCGCCAGGTATCAATAAAATAAGCGACTCAAGAACACATCTCTGATGGGTCACTGTTCGGGGTGGCGATAGCACGACATATTATCTGGTCATAAGAAGTCCACATAAGCAAACCCAAGCACACAAGACGCTGTTTTATATCTCACAACAAAATCCGATAATCAAATTGCAAATTGGCATTTTCAGAAACAGTTCTCCGGTTTCGAGATCTTATTTGTGCAGCCTTTACCTCGAAAGCATGTAATATCACTGGAAAAAATCGCGCACTTTAAAGGTTGTAAATTTGATGTAAATATGACGTAAGTGTCCAAAATTCTGTAAATTTAATGGAAATCATTTACATCAAATTTACAGAATTTTGGACACTTACATCATTTACATCAAATTTACAACCTTTAAAGTGCGCGAGTTTTTCCAGTGTATATTAATCAGCAGAGATCCTATTGATCCTATTGTAATTCACACATTCTGTCTACAAAGAAGACAATATACCTCTGCAGCTTTTACGTCATGTACCGTATACGCAATGCATTGCAGGAGATGTTTGGGACAGAACATGGCGGATTTCTTTTCTTTTCTCTAGAAACTGATCCCACAATGCATTGCAAATCAAGTAATGACGTAAAATGTTCAGAAGTCTATTAACATTTATACTTGATTGAACTTAAGCTTGCCCAAAATGGAATTCGAAACTGGAGTATTAGAGGACACTACAAAATAAAAGGTCACATAGAATTATAAAATTTTGTGAGTTGTGTAATGTAAGCTGCACTGCTGCACATGCTTTGTATTATAAATTGTCAGTTGAGAAATGAAGGTAGAAATTGTGAAATGTCAAAGAAACTAAGTATGCTTACTGAGCATTTTACGCTTTTTTTACCGATTAGAATCAATACTCGAATATTCGTTTTATATATTATGTCATAAAATAATGTCACTTTTAAATAAAATCAGAAATTCACAAACTTATCTACCCGTGTATTGTTCGTTTTCACCCATTCCCATGACGGCATTCAATGACGACATTCAAAAGATAAAAGACCGGCGGCCATGTTGGATGAATGAATAATAGTTACTAATGAGAAATCCTTTGTTAAAGTTCCTCCAAGATGGCCGCTGTGATGTAACTTGAAAACGAAGAATTAGCTCCATTGAAACGAAAATGTGTTGAATACTGGCTTAGTACAGAAGTTTTGAATTTTTGTCGGAGGTAATAAATTAATTTACAGAAAATCTGCATGCTTTATTAAACGATATACATTATATACGATATGCAGTTCGATCAAAAATGGATGAATTTTGGCCATTTTGGTGGGCTACAGTCCATCATTTTGATCAACAATCTATGAATTTTGGCCATTTTGGTGTGCTATAGGCCTATAGCCCATGCTTTTTGTTAAAAAATGGACGATTTTTGGCCATTTTGGTGGGCTATAGCCCATGCTTTTTGATAAAAAATGGACCGGATTTGTAGCCCACGCATTTTGATCAAAACTCGATTAATTTTTTATTTTTGAAATTTTGGTGGGCTATAGCCCATGCTGTTTGATCAAAAATCGAAAGAAATTTGGAAATTTTGGTGCATGCATTTTGATCAAAATTGAATTATATTCTTTTTTAATAGTGACTTAAAAATCCCTCATTAAAAATCCTGGATCCGCCCCAGCTAACTTCATCTGTTGAAAAATACTTATTCCTAGGGCAGAATGAAGCAGATTTTACTGCGATTCTTGGTTCCTAATTTTTAGAATATTTCTATGGTTTTTGGTAAATACGCAGCCTGAGTATTAGCTATTTTGGATGGGCTTCATGGCCCAGGAAAATGCTGGCGCTAGCGCTATATGAAGGTTATTTGGCCAGAGGACTACAGGGATGGTGTCTCACTAGAATCCCAAAACTTTGTCGCCCTCAATGAAACTAAAATTGACAATTCTTTCAAATTTTAACACACTCTCATACAATTTGGCTAAAATTTATTAACGCTCAGTACGTCATGCTACGGTCAAACATAAAACATTTGAATAATATAATTGTTATAAGCCAATTGAATTCTACTTAAGCTAAAAGTTGTTTGAACAACTAGATAGCTTGTTAATCTAACCAACAGCTATTCCACATTCTATGTTGTGGTTGATACTAAAACACTCGCTACTATGAGCTGTAATTTAAATGCAGACCTTACTATCAATAAATAAAATTGGAAAAAGCGGTAGCTTTTCTCTCCTGAATGTTTTGCACTGTTTCATGATTGCAGCCAAATCGTATGCATAGACATATTCTTTACAGAAAATTTTCAGTAAAGAATAAAAGAGTCATTTTCAAGAAAATTGATTAAAATTCTGTTTCTCCTGTCATCAAAATGTCAACTTTATCTTGAAAAAGTGCAAAACTTGTTGAATATTTCTGAATTTTCCAAATTATTTTATTTTTATCTGCGTAAAGCAGATTATTAATTATATGGTGCCAAAACGGTCGTCATTTTGAACGCAATTTTGTTATGTTTGAAATTAAAAATGGACCTACTAAATCCGTGAAACAAATGTTACTTCACTATTTATGTTTCACGTCTTTTAGTTCATTCATTTTTTTCGAAAAGTAATAGAATTTTAATGCATACAATCATCACATAATATTTTGAACAATTGCATGTACTTCATCGTTCAAAATGGTGACCGTTTACCTAATCTTTGTATTTTATTATTTATTCTTTATTTATCAATATTTTCTAGCAAAGAATAACATTTACGTGGTCTTTGGTAAATGAGCTAAAGGTGTAGATCTACTTTTCATTTTCAGAAAATAGTTAAGATTTAAATTTATTCTTTTTTGTCAAGATTTGAAACCCTAGTGCGTCGAGTTTTCTCACCTTGAAAGTGCTCTAAGAATCCCATTGAAAACGATGTCGCATTAGCTACGCTACTACTAAATTGAGTAAGAAAAATTGTGCTCTTTAGGTTTTAGACATCCCTGGTACTACTAGGTGTTTTGTGAAAAAGCGATATGGGTTTTAACTTAAAATAAAACGACGAACGCTACGACTAATTGCGATAACGAAATCTGCGAGTGAATTCATTCACCGAATATCAAAGTCACAAAAAGCATAAATTAGTTACTAGGGTATTTTGCAATGACAAGTTGTTATCAGTGTTTTCTCCTGTCTTGATTTTAGTCAAAATATTAACGTATAATGCATGTATTGAAAAACGAAAATCGTGGATTGACATTGACATAATCAGTCATTGACGTATAGAGTTGTACAGTGGTATTGTCATTGTTGTAAGCAGTCGTACAGTGGTGTTGTCATTGTCGTATTCAGTCGTGCGGTGATGTTGTCATTGTCGTATGCAGTTGTACTGTGGCATTTTCATAGTCGTATACAGTCGTACAGTGGTGTTGTCATTGTCGTATGCAGTCGTACAGTTGGTTGTCATTGTGGTATTCAGTCATACAGTGATGTTGTCATTGTCGTATGCAGTTGTACAGTGGTATTGTCATTGTCGTATTCAGTCGTGCAGTGGTATTGTCAATGTCGTATGCAGTCGTACAGTGGTATTGTCATTGTCGTATTAAGTCGTGCAGTGATGTTGTCATTGTCGTATTAAGTCGTGCAGTGATGTTTTCATTGTCGTATGCAGTTGTACTGTGGCATTTTCATAGTCGTATACAGTCATACAGTTGTGTTGTCATTGTCGTATTCAGTCATGCAGTGATGTTGTCACTGTCGTATGCAATCGTAAAGTGGTATTGTCATTGTCGTTTGTAGTCGTACAGTGGTTATGTCATTGTCTTATGCTGTTGTCATTGTGTTAGGCCGTCGAATAGTGATGTCGTCATTGTCGTATACAGTCGTATAGTGGTGTTTTCATTGTCGTATGCAGTTGCACAGTGATGTTATCATTGTCGTATGCAGTCGTACAGTGGTGTTGTCATAGTCGTATACAGTCATACAGTTGTGTTGTCATTGTCGTATTCAGTCATGCAGTGATGTTGTCATTGTCGTATGCAATCGTAAAGTGGTATTGTCATTGTCGTTTGTAGTTGTACAGTGGTTATGTCATTGTCTTATGTTGTTGTCATTGTGTTAGGCCGTCGAATAGTGATGTCGTCATTGTCGTATACAGTCGCACAGTGGTGTTTTCATTGTCGTATGCAGTTGCACAGTGATGTTATCATTGTCGTATGCAGTCGCAAATTGGTGTTGTCATTGTCGTATTTAGTCGTACAGTTGAGCTGTCATTGTCGTATGCAGTCGTACAGTGGTGTTGTCATTGTCGTATGCATTCGTACAGTTGTGTTGGTATTGTTGTATTCACACGTACAGTCGTGTTTTCATTGTCGTATGCAGTTGCACTGTGATGTTATCATTGTATGCAGTCGTAAATTGGTGTAGTTTTTGTCGTATGCAGTCGTACAGTTGTGCTGTCATTGTCGTATGCAGTCGTACAGTGGTGTTGTCATTGTCGTATGCAGTCGTACAGTCGTGTTGTTATTGTCGTATTCAGTCAAGCAGTGATGTTGTCATTGTCGTATGCAGTTGTACAGTGGTGTTGTCATTGTCGTATGCAGTCGTGCAGCGGTATTGTCATTGTCGTATGCAGTCGTACAGTGGTGTTGTCATTGTCGTATGCAGT